AAGATGGGGTAAGCCCTATGTCTCTGTTTGGGTGAGGTCGGTTGTGATTGGATTGTTGGTGGGGATGCTGGCGATCGATTTGGGGCCAGGGTAAGTGGAAGAGCTTAAGCCAATCGCTTTTCTGCGCATAGTTCTGGTGCGAAAAGGCGAATGTCTGTCGCCTCAGCGGTGGCTAGTGTGTGAGCGCAATGCCTTAGGGGGTTGGAGGGCACACGATAGATTAAGCTGAATGTGGATTCTCCTCTAATTTGGTCTGTATCCACTAGATGACCAAGAATGGCACTTCTTACGCTCCGTGTGCCTTCTTGTCAGTGTGGGTAGCATTCCTTCGTCCGTTGGAGTAGTTACCTCATCATGCGCCAATGTATTATGCATTACAAAGGCACCCGAGTGGGTAAATAACCATAGGAGTGACCAGCGTAAGCAGCCTATCTTTGAGACTGGTTCGGATGATGGGCCAGCCAGTAAACACACGATAATCGAGCTTTGTTGTAGGTCCGCTTCACTGCACGCGTCAGACGTCTGTTCAAGAGGTCAGATATCACATCTTCTTGAGGAGGTAGACGGAAGAACTATTTTGTTTGCTGACCTTCGTTAACCGTTTGGATAGCGGTCTTTCCTGAAAGCATCTTTCAATAAGCCGTCCGGGATAACTTTTTCTGTGAGAACGTCCTTGATTTTGTTAGTTGTTGAAATAATCCCACAGAGCACATTTCAAACAAAACAACAGAGTGGTGAACAAGCTCGTTTTCAGAGATTCGTATTCATGCCAATACATCTCAATATATATCACTATTTGGGAGTAACATTGTCATGGGAGAATAAAATAAAAATAAAACAGATTATTAAAACCGATTTCATCGTGAGACCGGAAATCGGGTTCACCNTTCACCACGATCGCATGTTTGTTTGTCCACTCATCCGACCATCGAGATTAATCACGATGCGGTTTGTATGGGGGGTGGGCCAGGGAAGCTTTAACGCTTGCACAAATTGTTTTTGGGCACACAGAGGGGGGTTGTGCATACGAATGTCCACCACTTCTGCCGTAGCCAACATCCGTGTGCTTTTATTTTATTTTATTCTCCCAAGTAGTGATATATATTGAGATGTATTGGCATGAATACGAATCTCTGAAAAACGAGCTTGTTCGCCACTCTGTTATTTTGTTAGTTCTTCATTCAACACAATTTTGGGGCAGTTCTTGCGCGTTCGTGGTGTGAGACTCTGAATGCAATTTATTTTCTATCTTAGTGGGATGAAGCTGTAAAAGCTTGTATATTGCCCCGTTCAAGTTAGTTTTTTATGAATTTCCCACCCTAAGGAACCGTCAATTCTTCGGAAGAGTGCCACGTTATTTTCTTCTGTTTCCAACGTGAACTGAATCGGTTCGTGAACTTTATTGATTATTTGGAGCACTCCTGTCGTATTCATACGTTTCTGTGTAAAAAAGAATATGTCGTCTACGTAGCGGTATTACAGACTCATTCACTCAATTTCTTGCAGTAACGTATTTTTTAATTTGTGGGCCTAATGGGAACCCATGATCAATCCGTTTATTTGAAGATAAAATTTTCCATCAAATAGAAATTGGACATTGTTCAGTGTCAATGTAACAAAAGAGGTAATTGACGATTTCAAAAAGTGGTATATTCGTGAACAAGGATGTTACATCCAAGGAGAACATTTGACTATTATTTATGTGCCGCTGGTTGATTATGTTCACGAACTCAAATGTGTCCCGCAAGCATTTTGCTCACTGGTTTGAGAATACTTACCAGCCAGTTGGCAGTCTGATAATATGGTGAGTAGACCACAGACAGAATTAGTTCTACTGGCATGCGTCTTGGAAAACTTCAGTAAGCCGTAAAGACGTGAAATAGCTAACTCAGAGGGCTTGAATGCACCGAATAAGGATCGGCCTATATGGTTTGGGTTCTTTATGAAGTTGAGACTATTCCAATTGGTGCCGTTTTCTCTTTGTCTTCAGGCACATTTTCGATTTTTTCTCATTGGACAGGAACTCAGATAGCTTCTTGATCTGATCGCACCTATTCACCAAAACAACTCTTGATCCTTGATCTAGTCTGTTTATTATAATGTCTCCGCATTGCTGGGCCTCCAGATTTTTCGTTAATGGCCCTCGGGTATTGAGTGTGTGCTAGCGGTATTGATAACGGTAGTCAGACTAGTGTGGCCTCGAAACTCTGAAGTTCGCCTGAGGAGTCAGGAACTAAGTCGTGTGTTTGGGAGGTTTTCGAACTGATATCAACTTCCGACTGGCTTGTTTTCCGACAAAGATAACAGAACTTACAGTCGAGGGATACGGTTTCGACTTTCAAGTTTTCCGTCTTTCTCCTATTGCTTCATCCAAATGGGCAGCCAAAACACAGCAACCGAAACCGGCGCACGAAAGTGCATTGCCAAAGGTTTTACAAACTGAACTGAACTGAGAATGGGACTTGCTTTCATATCAGAAGTCATGTAAACAGCTTTCGGTTGGGATGGAAAAGTTGATTGTCGACTGCTCGATATTAAACTACGTTGAAGTTTTGATAGTTTTGCGGTATCTGACATCGACCACAGATTGAACATAACTGGTGAATCCTTCACGTTTACAAAGAGGTAATTCGTCCACATCTGTCTTTCGAATATATGCCGCTCATATTCTGACACCCTTTACCACAGAGTGTTGCAAATCTAATGCATGCCTGCGCAAGGTTTTGGAGTTTGGATAAATCCGATTTATGCGTACAGATTTTAAGTAGTGTTTAGGGCACACATTCTGTTCTGTGCAGTTAGTAACAAATTATTAGTATCATTCAATAAAAGTTACACCTGGTGGACGTATTCCTTGGGACGGTCTCCACCTGAATGACTTTGATCATTTGTTCAACTTCGGTATCAAGGTGAATGCATCGGTGGGAACACTGCTGAACAGACGGACTAAACTGAGTCGAGGGTGACCCGGACCCAGAATCCTCAACAAAACGTCACAGAAAGACAGATACTCTTGTGAGATTCAACGCCCATGATGCCAATCCATCCAACTAACGGAGTTCCTGGACTGAATACACCCATAGAATGGGCCCTTTATGAGTCCTCAGTAATCAAGCATCAATAAAATGCTGTTTTGTAGCCCACACTTTGTTATTCAAACGATAAAGGTGCGCTCTCCAGAAAAGAGCAGGATGAAGCTTCTACTTTCAAACCCCTATGAAATCTTGTCTGGCACGCGTCCTGTTACTCACCCGCGTCATGCAGAATAATGTGGCCAACCATTACTTGAAGAGTTTACTACATGTGGCTAGGTCATCATTAACTGAATGAATAAAGTCGACTGCACAAACGTCAAAGATCGATTCGCTTTAGGTATTCAGATTTCAGTATTGAACTGTTTGATTTGATTGTTTCACACTTCATTGGTCGCGCTGCTTGAACGCAGTCCAACTGCATGCAATGCCTGCCCTCGCTGTCGATGATTCGCCTATCTGTCCCTCAGTCTGCCTGACTGCTTTGCGCACGCGTATGTCCACGGATGTGCGGTGATTGTCCGTACTAATGAACAGAGTTACTGGCTTACCGTCTATTTTTTTAATGTGTACACAAAACGAGGCATGTGCAGCTGCGAAAAGAAATAGTCCTAAAGTGGACTTATCCTCTCTGAGAAGTTAGTTGTAAACAAAGGGAACCTTGGGCTGCTTCTTCAATAACTCACCTCGAACTTTTGGCTTCTTCGGAACGTTCTTTCTGACCCCCACGCTTTCTCGGTCGTGATCGACACAGTTTCGGAGTGCCACCAGTAGCCTTACGTTCCGGTTTAGACCCAGTCGTCTTGTTCACACTTAAAGGATTTTCCACGGAATTCAGCTCTTCAAAACGTTTGGACTCAGCCAACGCGGAAAACGCGGACAAACCGGATCGTCGCAGTTTGACGTAGTGTTGCAGCTGTCTGAAACGGATCACGGTGGACGGTATGAATACTGGGAACGGCAACAGTGATGAAAAAACTAACAGCGGGCAAAGTGAGTCTGGAAAGCGTTAGTGGTTCTTGAGTTAAACGATTTGTTTCAGTTTATACGACTGTAAACAATTCAGTTAAGTTTTCACAACCATTACCCATGCATTTTCATGCACCAGTTTTGATTGCTGTCTCATGACTGCTCATTCGGATGAAACAGCAGAAGGAAGATTAGAATGTTGCGAGCGGAGACAGAGGATAGAAAATTCACATGAAATGAGTCTTCACTATTTAATTTTTGATCACTTTTACTTTCTTTTATTGGGTACATGAAGATACAATTTTCAGGAACGGGGGAGCGGCCAATCAAAGGGCTGTCATACAACACACACAATGGGGAAAGACAGGCGGTGGTGATGGGATTCGAACACTCGTCCTCCGGGGTGATAACTGGTGGCGTTACCACCGGGCCACCACCGCTCAAAGAAATTAAGATGCACGAGCGTGACTGTTTAGGACACTCAGCCACATCACTGTTCATAAGGGTAGGAATTTTTCAACTCGTATTACTTGGCATTCCGTTTAGAGAAGCGAAACTGCACTCGAGGTGTCAGAAAATATGAATGAATCAATCCATAAGAGCTACGACTGTCAGTATCAGTAGTAAAGACACTACATCATATATCGTGGTGCTTCCAGACCCAAGTCACGCGAGCCTTAGGGTTGTAAAAAGTCCGACGCAACTTGCACCACAGTGCGCTGTAACATATAGCAACAAGGAACTTTTTGTATTACACACATTTGTGTGATGAACAGAAGACAGGGTAAACCCCATAGTCTAGAAGATTTGCTGTTCAGTGATGGAAAGCAGTAACCCAAGCCTCACAACTAAGAGTGGCTAACCACACAAGGACCCGCTAGGTTACATGTGGTATTGAACCAGAAGACACCAAAGCTGCCTAACACCAAACCTGGGTGATGGTAGCAGGGTATCAACCTAGAAACATAGAGTTCACAGAACGGCGATGAAAGCGACCAAACTACTACACCATTAACACCATCGAATTATCGTTCGGATAAGGGAAACGGCAACCGAAGTCTCGATAACTCACACTAAGCACTGAATAAAGCTACAGTAGAATAGAATAGGTGTGCTATTGGGCATTGGTCAAACCCAATCAAACTAAACATTGATCAAGTTCGATCGAATTCCGACTGCTGTGTACATCAGTTGACTTCGGATATTTCTTGTCAGAGGAGGAAGCGTCCACGAGGAATCGTGAGACTTTGGTGCGAATGAAGTCCTTTGTTCGAGGATGCATATCTAGCAATTACACAACTAAGCGCGATCTATAAGACTAAAGGGTTTTTTCGCAATGATGCAGTTAGATTCAATTCACCCAGTCGGCCAACGAATGAATCAACTAGCTTGTCGAGTTTGCCAGAACAGTGGCACATAAAAGTGACACCGCGACTCATCTTTTTTCAAGAAAATCGGCTATCCCCGTTCAGTTAAGTGAGCCAGCAAAGTTGTCACCAGGGTGTGACCCCTGAAACATACAAAATACATTGTGGAAGTGTAAAAGCTAGGTGGCTGTTTTCTAGGAACATGGCAGGTTCCAGAGCCAAATGTGATCGCACTTCCGGAAACCGAATTGTGTACCTTGAAAACAGATGAACTTTCAGAAAGATTATCCGATATATGAAACAAATATCTCATATGATGATGATGATGAAAGTATAACAATCAAGTTACTGTCTGCTCGCCAATAGCAAGTAAGTTGTATATTGATTCAGCAATGAAGAATTCATCGTCGCACATGAAATCACGAAAATAGTGAAATACCCATCCAACAGCTGTGTATGAGTACTGTTTGTGTACCACATGAACTTCTAAGTCATATAGTACAGTCGATAAAATTGATAAGCCAAACCTCAATTTATGGTGGGCAAATGTACGTTGCATTAACAAACTAATGAAGTAAGACACCTCTAAACACTGCATGTAAGCAAAAATTAGTACAGGTAAATGCACTCAAGAATGCCCTGCAGATTTCACAGCGACACGGCCAGAAATCCAGGACTTCCAGCTCAATGCATAGGTATAACTGTTCAGTTTTGCACAAACAGTGAGGGCAGTCCAAAGGCACGATGCACGGATGGGGGTATTTAGTACAAACGACAGCGGTAGTTGTGCATTGACGCTCATTCCAGAAATAACCAGAGAGGAATGCAGCACCAATCTTGGGGGAAGTTGTATGACATTTACATACACTTTACATTTTTTTTTACTGTTCTTGCAATGACTATCAGTGAAAATTTCTTCAAGCTATGTTCAAATATGTACTCAGTTTTGACTGGGAATAAAACTCGTTAGTGGGATAGACAACACCATCAGGAGTGAACAAATGGCTGTTCGAATCTGTGACAATTGAGGACTTCCAAATATAATTGGAATTTTCAATTCTAATTAATTACCATGTATATATTTTTACTATGTATTTAACAAGCAACTAATTACATAGAATAGGCAAAGGTGTCACAACACATGATATGAAAAGGGATTAAATATAAATCAACGAAAAAGAGCCTCACAATAGGTGCGCCACTGACGCCGGTTACCAGCCACATCTGCTAATGTATCAAGCCATAGTTGTTCGTTGTCCTTGGGGTCCCAGCCTGGGAGTCTCGACAGCATCAATTTTGAGGTTAACGCCTTCATCGTTCGAGCTCAGGTTATTCCTTGTCCACCTTGTCACCGCTTTCAGTTAGTGCCTGCTTGCGCAAACACAACGCGATGGGACAGTCGTTGAGCCGGCGTCCGCAACGCATATCCTAGCCATCGAAGTCTCTGGAGCGAGATGACGACACTCAGAGGACGACTGAGATTGTCTGAGGCGAAGATTCTTCGGCGAACCTCGTCGTTGGTGATTTGTTGTTGCTGGCGTATCCTGGCGATGCAACAAAGGCAACGGTGGTCAAAGGCAGTTAATCTCCATACGTCTTCTGCGTGGATGGTCCAACTCGCGCAACCGTAGAGTAAGACAGTGCGTACTGCAGCGTTGTAAACGCGGTCATTCAAGGAAAGACAGATCACATCAGCGCCACAAGTGACGTAGATTAGTGAACGCCACTCGAACCTTGCGGATACGCGCTGATATTTCTTCCATCAGTCCCCTTGAGCTGCAACAATTCCTGAGATTGACGATTTTCAACCGATCGCTCATGAGCGTGAGGATGGATGTACCTCCTTTCTAGTCTTGTAGATAGACCCTAAATTTTGATGACGAAAAGGTCATATCAACCTGCGTGATGGACAATGCTAACTTACACAGGACATTTTGAGCTTCTTGGGAGGAGTCGCAAAGTATAACGATGTCGTCAGCAGGCAATGGAGTCGATCACCTTGGAGAAGCTCCACACCGGAAGCTCTGTAGCTTTCTAGAGCACTGCTTAGGATTTTGTCCATTTCGAAATTAAAGAGGAAGGGCGAGGCCGGACACCCTTGTTGGACTCCGCTTGCGATGGAGAAGGGAAATGCAACACAGACATTGATGTGGCCTGATGTTTTGAGAAGGTTTACGTAATTCTCAGATACACCACTTCTTAACAGACAAGTTCAGAGAGCTTTTCTGTCAAATGAGTCAAACACAGCACGTATGTCCAAAAACACAATGATGGTCGGTCTACTGAACGTATGACGTTGCTTGAGAATATGACGTAGCGTAAATATATGATCAACGCAGCTCCGGCCCGAACGGAATCCAGCTTGTTCTTCGCGGATATGACGCTCTCTCATCCAATTTAACCCGCGAAGGATAAATGATGTTAACACCTTGGATGCAACGAAGATGAGACTAATCCCTCGGTGATTGGAGCAATCGTGGCGGGGGCCCTTCTTGAAAACAAGTACAACGTTCTCCAGGCTCCATTAGAATGGAATGGACTCAGTATTCCACATGGACTGGAATAAGGAAATTAGTTCTCTGACAAAGCTCGCACCACCATTTTTAATAGGGCAGGAGGGAGCTCATCTGAGCTGGGCGATTTGTGACGTTTTAGAAGTCTGAGCTCGAGAGAATTCTTTCTCGGTAGGCGGTGAAATGTCCGCAGACTATGGAGCACTGCGTACATCAGGAGATCGTACTGATGACACTGATGGCGAAATGAATTGGTGATGGAATTGCCACGCCTAACTCTGAAGCCGACATCGTAGATTGTGAATACATTCGCCAATGGTTTCAAATATGGTTTAAATGATGCATGGTTTTTTTTTGTTACCGCTGGCTCGAATTAGTCGAAAAAGTTTGTGAGCACTACCGGAAGCAGAGGCTATTTCCATCTTAGAAGCGCGTTGCGCCCACCAGGTTTCTCAGTCCTCTTTTAGGAACCGTTTCAGTTCAACACTGCGAGCTGTATTGTATTCACTGCCTGGAGGGATGTTTCGACGAGTGTCAAGCAGTTCGAGAGAACGTGCCGAAGTTGTGCCAACCCGTAAAGCGATTTCTGGGACGATGCTGCACGCAATTCAACGCAATAATATGTAGGAACCGCGAAAACTGAGATGGAAAACAAATATTGGGAACTACACCATACAAACTTGACAAGACCTCGAGTCTGAAATGCGCCTCTGAAATAGATAGATATTAAATTACAATGACGTTCAATCTGCAAGGATTCAACTTCAGACTGAACTAACACCGGTTTCCTACCAACTGCGGTCTTCAAACACCGCCTAACACTTTGTGAAGGAGAAGATTCCGGTCGTGAATCTGTCACACAACGCCCTTATTTGGCCTGATCGAAATAGTAACATTGGGCTAATCGAATAAATTTTTTTTCTTATTAAGATTTTCATTTCACAATTTCACAACACTTTGGAATAACCGAAACAAGCGTGAAGTGCGCTCACCACCAATGCCTAGTATAGAATTTTAAGCAAACGTTTTATCGACAAACGAGATATCGCCATGTGTTATAAAACAAGGAA